ACTCTGTTCTGCCTCCCCCATTTGGCAGCAAGAAAACACCCCTATTGCTATGAATGGGTTTGCTGTTCCATCCGCTGTTAGACTTCCATGAGATAGTCAGTGACATTTCCAATCTCTTTCTTCTAAAAATAATGAAAAAGTTGTTTATTTTCTTCCATTGTGTTTATATTTGAAAGCACTGAGATGGGCACCTTCTGCTTGCCACCCCTCCCAAACCCAACATCCTGCCCCATCCTTCCCAGACCTGCTGCCAGTCAGTTCCTCTGCTGGCATATGAAATCCACCAAAAACAAACATTACTATTTACTGAATGTCTCGGGTATTGTATGAAAGAAGTTCCCAGCTATTTAAGTAAAGACATTCCCTTCCACAATAGAAGAGCCCTGGGATTTAATTTAGAAGCACTTAAAAGTAATAGAAATTCAAATGCTGATATTTTCTTCTTGTGCTCTGGATTTTCAAGTGCACGAGGGGTCTGTTGATGAGTTTTTCCTAGTTTTCATAATTTCCCTATAAAGCAAATGCTCTGTGTCCCTCCTGTGACAGACGAGTAGGCTGAGGAGTAGACGAGGTAAGCCCTGCTGTTGCCTCCAGATGGCACAGCCAGTGGGGGATGCCCGACTCACATCACCTGGCACAGTGGCTTGCACATAGTAGGCAATCAGTAAAAACCTCTCTCCTTTTTTTTCTCCCCTCCCCATTTTTCTCTCTCAGTGAATGGAGGCTGGTCTTCCTGGACAGAGTGGTCAGCCTGCAATGTTCGCTGTGGTAGAGGATGGCAGAAACGTTCCCGGACCTGCACCAACCCAGCTCCTCTCAATGGTGGGGCCTTTTGTGAGGGAATGTCAGTGCAGAAAATAACCTGCACTTCTCTTTGTCCCGGTGAGATATATGCAGATTCCCTTTTCCCTTCTCATCCACCAACACTATTAAGCTGGTGTGAAGCAAACAGTATAACCTTCCTTTCCAAAGTCACCCTCTGCCAAATTCTTAGACTAGAACCTTTGTCCAAGGTGCTAATGTGGAACTCATTGTGATGGCAAGAGCGTGGGTGAGATATCTCTGTGCAATGTTTTGGGGCATTGTTTTTTAATCCTTAGATGACACTGAACACTCACCATCAATAGCTAAGTGCTTTGAAGTATTTTTATACTACCAACTCTCACCAGAGTAGTGTGAGCCAAGCCATTCCCTTCTCTCCTTGGGTTCTCCCATTTTGTGATGTGCAGTTGTTTAAAGTTAGCAGGGATTCGGTGAGTTGTCTTTGAGCACAAAAGAGCAGGTACCCAAAATTTCACCCCTTATCATCAGATACCAGTCAATTAACCTTATCAGTTTTAGCTTTGTATTCATTTACAGTACAATTGGCAGAGATGTACACTGTCCCAGCAGTCCGTGTTTTACCTTTAGCCTATGCTTACCTTCTTTTCTGAATAGAGAGATACCTCATTTCCCAAATATGGCTTTATAAATTCTTTTATTTATCTCTTACTGCCTATAACCCAATTTATACAATGAGGAATAGATGAGATGGAAGATGACTTTCTTATGGAAAGCATATCTTCCCACTGACAAATAAATTGATCCTGGGTCTCACATGCACTGCAGAATATCAACTCCAAGGACACTGGACTAGAACCTCATGTCTTTAAAATTTCAAATTTAATTCTGCTCAAAGCTAAGGTGAAGTTCTCACCAGCAGCATAATCTTGGAGTTTCAGTTTGTACTCATAATCAATGAACATTTATTGAGTGCTTACTATGTGCCAGGTACTGTGCAGGATACTTTTACACATGGAAAGTTATTTAACTCTGTGTTGTGAGTTCTATTATCTCCTGTTGACAGAAGTGGGAAACTGAAGCTAAGTGACTTGCCCAGACTTGCTCAGCCAGTAAGAGGACAGAACCAAGACAAGAACTCAGGCATTTTGCTTCAAGTTCACTATATTTTAAAATACGCTGCACTTGACTAATTGCTTTAGGTTAAAAATTATGGTGTCTTAAGTAACCCACATAAGCATGGTTGGACTATTCCTAGGAGGCTATGGGGCAATTGCCTCAAACATCTGCCATAATCTCCAGGGTTGCTTTTTAGTAAAATTAAATTCAGTTTGTTCATTTCTACATACAGCAGCAATCCATGACCCAAGAAATTCTGTTCATGTAAGTCTTGGTTTCTTGGGGGTTGACTGACCTGTTTTAATTTAATACTATCAGTATATTTGGGTTGAACTTTTTTGGTTTTTATGGGCTTTTAGGGCTTAAACAGAGTTCATTCCACTCTCTGTTCTAAACTGGCAACCCACAAGGAAGTGGCTGATTACCAGCAGTTACCACACATACTTTATCTGTCCATCTAAGATGCACTTGGGCATGAAAGACTGGGAAAGAATGGATAATGACATTATTAGCCAGCCCAAAGGTACTGATCATTATAATGCTTGCCTAAATTCAGTAATTGGTCTCATGGTAAAGTAGCAAGAGAAGGACACTACTGCTTTTGTCAGCCTATCTCTTTAGGAAAGAAACCATGGAGAGAAGATAAAGTGATAAATTGTTTGGGGTTTTTTGTGGTTATTTCTTTAAAATCCAGCTCTAAGAACAACAGCTGTCCTTGGGTGAGTCTCCTGACAGCTGCCCAGTTCATTCTAATGATGTTTTTTTTTGTTTCCCTTTGAAGTGGATGGGAGCTGGGAAGTGTGGAGTGAATGGTCCGTCTGCAG